CTCCATTTGCATAGATATTAAGGACATTCGACTGGCTCTCTCCGTATCCGGAGTGGTGAGCTACTGGGTGAGGGCGGGTAGACGAAGTGCGCGCGGAAGGAAGGACCGCTGGGCGAGTGGGGATAGGCAAAACAGACTGTGCGTGAGATGATGTGGCATGTTGGCGAGGGGAGGAAGGGACGGTGCATAGTCTGGTGAGTAAGAGAAGTGGTTGAAGTATCAGTGAACAGTGCATTTATTGTAATTTCTTTATGTGTGTCTGAACCTGTACCTACCTGTACCCCACTTGCCGATGAGACATGTAAGTAAATCGGAAACCTGGACATACCTGAAATGCTCAGAGCGTTGATGAAGCGAAGCAAGAGGGGATTTATCTGAGAATTTCCAAAGCACAAGAGGTATTTAATAGGACTATTCTACGAGTGAAATTATATCCAACATTGTTACAAAATGCGTCAAATATTGAAAATAACTGAATGCTATGTTAAAATCAAAGAGGTTATGTTATAGTACACATGATTTTTATTAGACATCGACCTAGGGATCGCCTCCTAAGATAGATGAGTCGCATTTTATGATTGGCCAGTAGGTAGAAGCGGTAAAATAAATGGATAGAAAAAGTGATAAACTTTTTGAGATACACCGCCCCGATTGGGGAATTTTGTATCTATAGTTAGGCACTATTGATTTTTATTTTACGAGTGGCATAGTCAATTTAATTCGATTGATGGAATTGCAAGGACGGATATGAATTTGGAAAGCGTGCAAAAATGATCAGGAGAGAGAAAATTGGTTTGCTGGAAGTTATATTACACTATAAGTGTCTCCATAGGTACGAGCAGAAGGCGAGGCCGTTTTCTTGGGGAAGCAAAGAGGTGAAAACGGAGGCACGTGATGCATCATTACCATCGTCAACGAAGTCGTCTTTACTGCTTCCGGCGAGAGTCGTAACGAGACACGACGACGACGATGCAATCGGCGTCGTGACGCGACGTCATCAACATCAATGCCCCCCCCCCGGGTTTGTCGACCAAACCAATGCAAATTTGTCCTCGGTCGAACTTGTAAATTGTGCAAACACTTGAAGATGCTTCCTCGAGCAGGGGTGGGGTGCGGAGTGGGAGTGGAGGCGGGCGCTGGAAAGAGAGGTGGCTCTGGAGAAGCCAAGAGCGTCCGAGGACACGCAGGTGAAGGCGAGGTTTGGTAGGAGATTAAGGTGCGCGGCTAAGTGGAGCAGTGCGAGGGGCTAGTAGATGGGGTGAGCCCGTATTTCGTGTTGCTGGATGCGACAACTACTTCGTTCATTTGTCTCGTAGTGCATGTGTAGTGTGCATGCTGCAGCTGGGAGGCGACGGTGTTACTCTAACGTGATGTTTGGCGTCCATCTACATGTCGTCTCGCTGTGTTTTTTTTTCTCCTGAGACCTCCCCAACAGGATACCGTTGGACCAAGCTCTAAGCAAAGCGGTGGCATCCCAACATGGGGGTTACAACAGTGCATATATGTGAAGTGTTGAGTGTTTATATAGGGAGAAGCGGTCTCAAGTATGAGTATCGCGCGCGGTCAGGAGTCCGTTTGTTGCTGTACTGCTCCGATATTAGCCTGGAGATAATCGTAAAACACGTAAAACAACCGATAACAGCAATTAATTAGTAATTCCTGGCACTCATAAAGTCTTTAGTTCTGTAAACGTAAAGCATGACTTTACCTTGGGAGGTGGCGGTGACCTTTACACGCTGGATGAGAAGATCCGGATGAGAAGATCCGAACGTGTTGGCTAGCGAGTGTAGTGCATGGAAGTGGGTGTGTGTATGTGAAGTAAGAAACCATAAAAAACTACCGATCAGAGCAGTCGGCCGCTAGGAATCTCTTCCAGCGGCTGAACTCGACTTTGCCATGTAGTTAGTGTCGAAAATCCTGGAACCGTCAGGACTATTAGAATCTTTCGGTCAGAAACACTGCAGTGGCATCGTTTGATGTCTTAAACTATCTTTGCCAATAGTACAAGCAAGAGAAAGAAAAGATAGCGCGCAGTTCGTGGCTCCTTCGTACGGGTACTTCTTCTGCATTCGCTTGGTGTTGATCGGAGACACCACGAAAAACTACCGATCAATGCAGCTCGGCGCTAGAATTCTCTTCCAGACAGCGAATGAATTGGACCAAGATATGAAGCTAGAGTCAAAAATTCTACCACCTTTACCACCTTATGACCTGCCAGTCGGCGGCACTGCAGTGATGCATTCTTGGCTATCCGGGATGCGCCGCGTCTCGGTCAATGTTACTGACGTTTCGGTCATCTTGCTGTGGACTTCTTCAGAGCTATACTGCACTGAAGGCAGGACTGACAGGCAGGACACTGCACTGACTATAAACATTGCAGTGAAACTCTGATCCACCTAAAACGGTAATAGCAATCGGCCACTAGAATTCTTCTCTCCATAACGGCTAATCTAGTCCTCGAAAATCCGCCATCGTGAAATCCCGAACCCCAAGACCTCAAAGTCGTAAGTGCTGCAGTTGTGGCCGGCAGAGTCAGCCGGCCTCCTTGTTTGTAACGAGGTATTGCAAGTGCAAAGAGGGCGGGGTGGGGCGCGCGTGCGCAGATGGCGGCCGGGCCTTCGTCTGCGCCGGACGCGCCCGGCGCGACGAGCGGAGGCGGCGCGAGCGCGGTGAAGTACACGGGGGAGCCGCCCGCCACCTGGGACCTGCAGCCGGAGCCGGGCGAGGTGACGTGGGGCCCGCCGCTGGCCAGGGACCCCGAGCGCCGCAAGCGCTACCGCGACCAGCTGCAGTGGTGGTTGGAGCACCCGCTGGACCCCCTGCCCAAGCGCTGGCGCGACCGCGCCAAGCAGGAGCTCAACGAGGACCCCGAGCGCCTGCCCGCCGACATCAAGGCGCTGCGCGGCCTCGTCAAGGGTGAGCTCTTCTCTCCCTCCCCGGATCATTTTGTCTAGGTTCTCCTCTTCACCCTATCTCTCTAGCTCACCTCGCTCGCTACGATTTCTCTCCTGCTGCCTGTCCTCTTCAGCTGCCTGTCCTCTTCAGCTGCCTGTCCTCGACAGCTGCCACTCCTCGACAGCTGTCTGTCCTCGACAGCTGCCTGTCCTCGACAGCTGCCTGTCCTCGACAGCTGGATGTCCTCTTCAGCTGCCTGTCCTCGACAGCTGGCTGTCCTCGACAGCTGTACGTCCTCCACCTGTCTGACATCTTCATGGGTCTTCTCTCGTTTTCCACTCATAACTCTTCCTTCTCTTCTCTTCTTTTCATCTTCCCTTTCTTGTGTCCGGGCGAGATTTGACATCAGACTGTGCGGGGTTGGCCTTTCTGTCCAAAGAAACTTTCCAATCTACAGAACAATCAAACACACGAATTTTGAATTATTCTGGTTCAGCAAAACACAATCATGTCGTCACACCTTTTCATTTGAAACCTCAGTTCAGACTGTTCCATTTACTTATCGTTGACTCAGTGTACAATCGAGAAAGGCTACTATTGGAATTTGTATTTAAATGCTAAAGTATTGCGTTCGTTGGCGCATTTCATTTCCGCGCGTGTTTCCTCGTTACGGCCTCTTCGCTGAGCGGCCAGGCGTGTAAGCGCTGCTCTGATGGGGAGGCGCGCGGCGTGTTGCAGCGGAGCCGTACCTGCGCTCCCGCTTGGACGACCACTTCATGCTGTCGTTCCTGCGCTCCAAGCGCCACGAGCTGCAGCCGTCGTTCAAGTCGGTGAGCGGCGCTGCCGGCGGTGAGGAGGCCTCCCCTCGCTCGCTCCCCCTCCCCCTCACCCACCGCACCAACGCCACTGGCCACGACGCTTTACTACAACAACGGCTACTGCTCCTTCCGGCAGCGTATAAGAGCCTCTGTCAGTTCTCTCGACACGCGAAGCGAAGTTAATGTAATGCTTCTCTCGGGACGTACTAAATTCACTGAAAAACTTTGCATCTATTTATTTTGTTGAAATCTTATAATTTTTCAAAATTTCAACAAGGGACTGGTAAAGTATTATTGTATTAAGTAACCTTTACAAATTATGCAGAATGTACATTGCTGAATTTCTAGGTCTATTTTATTACTTTTCAGAACGGCATCATTTGGAAGTATCGTATCGTGTCACCAACCGACGCGTTAATCAGAATGTTTTGAGTGTTGAGAAGTCGAAAACTTTTGTCAAGAAACATCTTACATAACAAATTTTACGTAACAAATGTTATACGTGTGTAAGTTTCCCCTAATATTTAGATATCCCTTATACGCAGATGATCGACATGATAGATTCAAACCCAATCAAGGAGATTTCATGTACCTACCAAATATTGTGCACATGATCTTGTCTATAAATTAGGGGTAAAAGTTGTGTGTTTAAAGGCAAAACTGGTACTAGTCCCAATTTTTGGGATCTCCTTGCGTTTTCGAAAATCGCAGACAATTAGCATTGCAAAAGTTCAATATTGGATATCGACATTTTTGCCTTATATGAAATCTATTTTAAAAAATTGGTTTGATTTTTTAAAATTAGTACTTGTCCTGTAATGAATGTAAGTTAATGCATTAAAAATCATTTTCTCATAAACGGCTCTAAAAGAACATTTGGAAGTTGATTTCTTGCATCCACTATTGTTACCATCCTATATATTTTAAAAATTAAAGAAGAATCTGTCGGGTAATTTCATTTCTGAAACTAGCCACCCTGATCATGGATATAAGCGATAGATTCTGACATAAATCCACATTTAAAATTACAACCCTTAACAGGAACTTAAAGGTTACAATTGACGTTTAAACGAATATTCTAACTACATACAATTCAATCCAGCTTATACTCCTCAGTATTATACTCTTCTCCCTGCTTTGTGATTAAATCTAAAAGAGAACTACTTTATCGCCAACTAGCAAAGACACGCACAAATAACTTCGAACAGTTGATAAGTAGCTGGAACGGTCCTTACAGAACCACTGACCGCAAATGCATCGTGTTTCCAGCTCATCAAATACTACCGAATGCGGAGAGTCAACCCGACTTTCTTCGAACTGTGCCTTCCGTCGATGCGCCCGGATGTGTACAAGTTGAAGGCCGTCTCGCTCCTGGACGGGTACGACACTCTGGGGCGGCCCGTCTGCTATTTCTCCGCGGGTGAGAGAGGGCCGCTCCGGCGCGCTGCTAGAGGCCTGCACTAACAAACATTCCGCTGAACAAAACCACGCGAATTTGAGGTTGAAGGAAAGGAGTCCCAAGATGATTTATAGACAGACACGACTCGAATGCGCACTCGAGTAATTGTAAGATAGAGATGTAATAAAAGTAAATTGAGAAGAGTCGTGTCTGTCTATATATCATCTTGGGATTCCTTTCCTTCAACCTTAAATTTACAAGAGACAGGCTTATTCCTACCTTTGCAAGAAAACCACACAAAACAACCCAGGCAAATTAGACCCAAAACTGGTCATCGAAGGGGAAAAATCCACAAGTTTTGAAACTTGTATATATATACCGACCGCACTATATACTATAAAACCCGATACTACCGATTTATACTAAAAATACCGAAGTATAGAGGATGATCTGGTTGTGAGGAGTCCGTCTAAACGTCTTTTTGCTAGTTTTTTTGGGTGTAAATTCTCGACCCTATAACTTTAAATGTGTTAATTTTACAACAAATCCCTATAGAACCTTTTTGTTGGAAATTTTGTCAACTTTAATGTTTTATAGAACATAAATTTCGGTAGGATTTATAGTTAATTATCCACTTAAGATACCTGCAAATAATTAGAAACCCCTGTAAACTATCCCCCCACCTCCGGCTCATCGTTCAGAATTTTCAGTATAACGTGCAGTAAGTTCCAACAAACAATCATGGCAAGTTTCAAAACATCGGGATTTTTATTTCATTTTGTTTGTCAACTTAAGTGACGCACTCTGTTTGAGAATCCGATTAGTTTGCGCAGTATGAGAAAAAACGGAATAACACAATCAACTATTTATATTTTACCTAGTTCTTGGACATCAAAAAAACATAGACACCTCTCATGCATTTACACTACGCATGGTCTCTCATAATACACGTTGCAAACTTTTAGGGATGATCGAAGATTATCGCCGTTTGCCAATGAAAGAAGCGATTGAAATGAATAAAAGAACGATGAAAGAAATCGGAAATACAACGAAATTAAAATGTGACTTTTGTTTCTGATTGATACGACTCGGTTCCTCATCGTGTCCTGGTGCTTGGCAAATCAGTCCTTGTTGCATTTAAAAATATTTTGGGTGCCTAGCCAACAAATCTGCACGAGTTGTCCCCCAATCACGGAAGAATTTTATTCGACTACCCCCTCTCATGTTAATTGACAAAAAGTGATCATCTTTAACCACTCTAAAAGCCTGAGACGTTTGTAATGTATTTCTGTGACTCCTGCAAATAAATACTGTTACATAGAAGCAAATTGTAGAGTCCGAGTGCTCACCCTGCACCTGTGGTTATAGGGATTTAAAGACTTCTCGAGCCGCGTGGAATTTGTGGGGAAGGCGGGATCGTGGCAGGTTTTCTCAGGTTCTCCCGATTCCCCTGCCTCTCATTCCACCATTTCTCCATCTCCATCATTAAAATTACGAATACCAACATCATTGATCATCTATCAAACCGGGAGAGGTGTCTCAGGGCATCAACAGATGTTACTACAGAGCCATTGACCGGGAGGTTTTAGATTCGAGTCTCGAAGGTGGCAGGATTTTCGACACTAGATAGATAGCTTGGTCGAATTTATTCGCTTTCTGGAGGGGACTTCTCGCGGCCGGCTGCTCTCATCAGTAGTTTCCGTGGTTTCTTCGACCAATACCAGATGAATGCCGGAGTAATACCCTAAGAAACGGCCCAAGGACCGCGCGCGATCTTTCCTGGCACTTTCTTGTCCTATCCTCGTCCATTACTTACACACACTTCCACTTACACGCACTTCCCTACCACACAAGTCAGGAGACCAGTCGGGAGCTTAGAGCTTCTCTCGGCTGGGGCAGTGCACCGTTTGGTGCGGAATACCTGGGTAGAGAACATCCGGATCTCACTATTCAGGGGGGGTAGATCACCGCCACCTCCAGATAAAAAAAACATGTACCAAACTTGCAAGACTAACTACCTTAGTACTTGACGCGCCCGGAATCACTAATCAATCTATCGGTCAAACAATTCATCCTAGGTAGTGACGTCACGGCTAAGGTACTGTAGATCATAAAAAAGGTATAGATACAGTGATAGATTTTTTTTTATTTGACTGCGGTGTGTAGTGATAACGCTTTTTCAACAAAAGATGAAAGAGAATTGAAACCCGATAGTGTCCACAGGACCAAATCGTTTCAGATACTTCTTCCTACAATCCTTCAGTATATTTTTAAATACCACAATGCATTATAAAGAATATTTTCAATTTTCATTTCCAATCGAATACTCAACTATGATCAGCCATCGTACTAATAGCTGTGGACAAGTTGTGCAGTTAAGGAAGGTAATTTCTTCGTTACATAAAAAATTATGCCCGAAAAGTTTGAAATATCTTTTAAGTAAGAAATATCCTTAAATAATAAACATGGTGCATCTTACAAGAACAACGGCACCCACGTACATAACAATAATCAAATATTTACCTACAATAACAAAAACTTATTACTTTCAACACAATATCTATATGTCAATGATGTGATCAAACAGCACACATTAACTTTCCACTACTTGCAACGCCAGGTTACCTAATATTTTTTATTGTTATCTTTTCACTCTTTATCTTCCGCTATTAAACTATATTACCCCTTTTATGTGTAAACGAAAAGTAACCGTCAAATATCCCTCAACAAACTCATTTAGATAACATTTCCCTAATAATTATGTGACCCTTCTCTAACTTTATTCAGCCAAATTTACACCTTCAGTGCAATTAGATCTTTGAGTTCTTATGGCATGAATATCCATTTAAAAGGAAAGATCGAGAAAAAAAATTTGCAAAGTTCACTGCATAAAACCACAAATTTCTCTAGCACTGTAGGTATATACATTTGAATTAAACATTTTGCAATAGTCGTTAGAAGTAATTAATATCCTCGTATCCTCGATAAACATCGTTATATATATATATATATATATATATATATATATATATATATATATTTGTGTGTGTGTATGTGTGTATATGTACTTCGGCAGTTTGAGTGTTGGATGAGAACGACATTCTTCCTGTTTCAGATTTTCAACCAACAAGCATTACCAACTGTCAGTTCATTCAACTGATCGTCCACCTCCTCGATTTCCTGATGATTGACCCGCGCATGCAAATCTCAGGTGTCACCATTCTGGTGAACCTGGATAAGCAGACTATTGGGCACGCGAAACTCATAACTATTAAGTTTCTCAAGCTAATGTTGCAGATTTTTCAGGTATTTGTGCAAGTTTCGAAAGTTTTGTCCTTTTTATAATTAACAACTTAAGTTCTTCATTGAGCATCATTCTACTTTCGTATTATAGTTCTATCTGTAAATCTCCTATCCCGTAGAACATAGAGAGCTTTGGAACATTACACTTGAAACTATATTTGCGTACATATAATGAAGTTTCCTATAATTATTATTTTCGCTTTGATTAGAAGCTTAAGGAAATTTTGATGATATAACTATTCTATATCGGACTGCAATATTCAAGTTCGCGGGTATGAATCTGGCATTAGTTGAATACTTTTAAGGACGAAACGTCCTTCATAAGGTTTGCATTGGAAGGAAAATAAGGCCAGTTGTCAAATGTCGCAGATTTGCGACCTATTAAAGCTTGAATATTCTCTCTGAGCTTAAATGACGCATCTGAGCAAAAATAGAGAATTGTTTATCGCTATTGTAATTCTTCCACAATATAGCATTGTGCCTATTACATAGTTACTGTGAAAGGAAAGTTACCAAATTAGTTACTGAAATAAGACGTCGTTAGATCTCCAAAGATTAACAACTTTTCTGTACAAATTTCATAGAACATGTCACAACAGATAATGTAAATGGAGCTAATCTCATTACTTATGAACCTGTAACTTTTAATCATCTTTATATTATCTCATATTACCACGTATTTAACGCGAGATAAAATATTAATGTTCCTGCAGAATAGTGAATGGCACAGACTTTATCGTACTATTTCATTTACTTATCTTCTAGATTTGGTCTAATTTTTCGATTTTTCCCACTCTCCTCTCAGCTAGCATCTATTGGCGCCTAAAACACTTTTTCCACATTTACTCAATTTTTCGGATTCCTAATAATATAGTGAGGCTTTCGGTGGATCGTTGGTTAGCGTGCTCGCCTTCCACGGCGCAACCTCTGGTTCGAGTCTCCGCCGCGGTAATAACTGTGTGCTTTCCTTACAAATGCCCCAATATCTACTGCTGTATGACGACGAGACAGCCTGCCCTAAGGTGATGAAGACGAGAATATATGTTGCAGGGACGTCTTCGTACTAACCACACGAACCCCTTATCCCTTGCCCGAAAGGATGGTCGTCCAAGGCCCGTATAGTGCTGTCGAGCCAAAGAACAGAAGAAGTAGAATTGAAATATGACTTTAAGGACATGGCTAAGGGATGGGTAAAACATATTTCTCCATGCACATTATCTATGACAATGTCAACCCATTTTTTAAAAAATTCGTTTGAGCATATCTGAAAATTTGCATTTTTAGGATCATTTTTAACCCAAATTTGTGAATTTTTCACAAAATTCATTAGAAATTATTTCAAACATTTGTACTCACAAATGCAAAAATCTATAACAAATGCGAGAAAAAAGTAAATATTAAGGAGCTGAGAGACATTAAAAAATAATTTAGGTAATTTAAAAAAAGACAAAGAATACACAAAAAATGACACTTATGTAATCTTATACATAACATTTAGCACTATTCCTATCAAAGGTTAAAAGAAAAAATTGGAACCGTCTTTGAGAAAATCTTTTTAATACACGTTACATTTTACTCAAATTGCGCGGAAACTACTAAAACTTTCAAAGAAATTTACAAGAAATTAATTATAGAACTAATTGTGGAGGACAAATTTCATTATATCATAAATCGCTATCTTTAATACTGTATTTTTTGGAAGACGCGACAAAAATTGTTAATTTAAGAGAAAACTGAGTTTAAAAAATGTTGTAGCCATTTGTGAGAATAGTTTGAAAATGTCCAAATGCTTCAGGTAAAGTACCCCCATAAAATTTAAAAAACGTTTCTCATACTTGCAGAGTTAAAAGTATGGCCAGATAACCAGGGCAACTTTTTGGTATCAGGAGACCCCCAAAATGTGCATAGCCGATGCAATATAGAAATCTATCTTCCACAGTAATAAATAACTTTCTCTATTCAACGTATGTTACTTCGTATAAAAATATATACGAAAAAGTAAAACATATTCTTAATTTAATTTTTAAGTTGATAAAATTTTTCTTACATTATTCATTTTAGGCGAAGGGTTTATGCTAAAATGCGTTCCACGAGGATGGAGTAATTTTAAGCACTGATATGATGAAGGTCTTCTGCGAGGCTCAAGGGTTTTCTGAATCGATTCAGGATTAAGGAAGTTTCACAGATGTGTCCCTGTTGCTCAAAAACTCTTCAGTGGGTAAGAGATTCGAAGAGACACCAATAGAGACAGACACATTCAAAGATGTTGAATGTGAGCTTGAGATATGATTTCTTTTAATAAATGTCAGTCTACTTGGACTAATACACCAAACTATTTAACTATAATTGTATTCATTCGACATGCAATTATCTAATTCGTTATATATTTTGGTATGTGTCGAGTCTGAAAATATTTTAATTTGTCGCCTTACTACGTACGAAATAAAGAACGTATTGCAATTGTGAAACGTAAATCGATGATTTTTCGATTGTAAAACTCTTGTCGTCTGATGCTGGAAACGAAGAAGTGGATCTATCTTCCTTTTACGTGTAGTAGCTGACTACCTCTAACACGCTGAGTAGGCAGATTTTGTGGGTCGTTGATACCGAAAAATCGATTGTCGGCAAAATGTCTGTATGTGTGTAACTAGAAAACTAAATAGGTCGAGAACGTCTGTCAACTCTATAGCAATTTCAGTTTTTATTTACGTATACAATTTTACTTGAACAATTTTCAGTCTATCTTTGAATTTTTAAAATGTATTTTTGGATTGTATATAGTCTCTTACGTTGTTGCACATTTCGGGGTGTTATATTTTGTATGCTTTTCAGCGTTTTTAGTGGTTTTCAACTTATTTTTAATTTTATACCACCTTTTTATAGGTTCCTATGGGAGCTCCATTTGATCATCATTCAACAGTAAATTCGAATATTTCCCCATTTCGCCTTCAAAATTTACAATTATTGTGCATTTTTTAGCATTTTGTACTTTTATTGCAAAACTTAGAAATGTATTTATTGACAAAAACAGTTAATTACAATAGAGAATCAACGAGTTATTACAGCGTAATTGATTTGATTATTTTTGCAATTGCAATTACAGACTTTTGCAACCGAACAGACCATCATTTTTGTCACCCTAGAAAATAAAACTCTCTGAACTAGTTATATACGATAGCCATGCACTATGACCATCTGCCGGTGTGGTAGGTTCGATCCACCATACAATCAAGTAGCTCAGTCGGTTTTGACAAAATAACAGTTGACCATTTACAAATTTTTTGAGATTCAGGGTCATGGGTTCTCTGCACTTTAGTATCACATGTCATTTAAATAAAATCCATTTATAATAAAATGTACTATAATCTTCAATAATGCCTCTCGCTCACTTTACAAAAAATATAAAAGGTCATCTAAAAACAAAACATTCTCTGAAAAAGTACTTATATAACTAACACATCCAAAATGCACACTTCACAGTATTACGTGAACTAATATTGAAATCGTTGTACTCATATGTTCAAGAATAATAAATTCAAGTTCTTTGAAAATTTGAATAATTTTTAAGACCATTTCTATCCTTTAAGTTTTAACATTGACAGAAAGAAACAAAATTGGGCTGGTTGACGTTACTTAATAAGATTACTTCTCATTAATCTGATTCAATTCTTTAGTACTCTAAGAAATTACTCTTTTACACACATAGCTTTCATTGAAAAGAAATATTTTGCTTCCTAATACACCTTCAAATTACAGTCACACATTTGTGAGTCAACCATAGTTTACTACAGGTTTCACTTGTTTAGTGTAGTTTCTTAAAGAATCATTCGTATCTTTTAATAAGTTCAAAACTTAAATTAATAACACGTCTTATCAGACTTTTGATTACGTTACGAATTCTGGTGAGAATTAAAGTAAATGAAATTCTCATGGAAACGTTTTTACTTGAATTATAAATCACAGCAGGAGGAGATTTCTGAGGTATTCAAACCACCACGAAGCACACCGTCCTCCTTGCAACCGTTCAGTAATCATCAGTTCGCCTTCACTTCTGTTGCCAGAGTCCAAGTTTTTTGAAATACACAGCTACGTACAACTGCTTCACATGTGCTTGCATATGAAATAGTATCTTCGACTATTCAACCCATTGAATAAAATAAAGAGAGAAAAATAAAAACTGAAAGAAAAGAGCACCTTAAAGTATGAGTTTTAATTCCACATCACTCGCACGTGCTCCTCCCAACTATTTCGTTTTTTTCCCGCTATACTAATTTTCTTAAGTAAATGTTACAAAATTTATTACTATTCGTTATGAATAAATAAAGATACCTCTCCCATGTTTCTGCATAGTTTTATTGCTTCCAGTAGACGTACGGCACTGTCCATTACCAGTAGTGCTCATACGGCACTGTCCATTAACGTATCGTCACTCCACATCACGACTTCACCGGTCGCCTTATGGCCTTTCAACTCCCATACAATGTGGTGGAAACCATTACTGTGGCGCGCTCTCATGCTGCACTATCTTACAGGAACTAAAACACGAGCTTCTACTTCAAACGTGGGTGGCTGCTGCGTGAGTTCTCGGAATGCAAGTAGGCCCTTAATGTTATAAAAGATAGCGCCGATGTTCACGCTTTCTTCAGCGGTTTCTTGTACATGTATATGACGAATAATTGAACATTCAAAAGACACTTTTCCTATTTTCACCAATTAGCAATTTTTATGTGCGGAAGTTGGCGAGCCCAACCTGCAGCTGTACCCAGCGACACTAGCGCATCCAAGAATAGAACCCTCATGCTTTGTTCCCGGTTTTGATGGAGAGTTCAAAGTCCCTGGGTAGCCTGCTTCTTTCCAAAAGAATTTCGCGAAATATAGGAGTTTTGTGTTATTTGGATTCTAAACTAGCGTACTCTTTTGATACGTTCCGGCACTTCTTCTGTCATAAAGTTCGCGTTTCAATCCTGGACGATTCTCTCGTCCCTGGTGAGGAATGTCATAAA